GATAAGCACCTCCAAAGGATACCTGATCAACCAGGCTGTGACTCATACGTCAGGCTGCGAGCAGCCGCGTCCAACAGCCTGGTTGATCAGTCCAGCAACCAGGAGGCCTGGTCGACGACCGGGCCGCGGGGACGCTAAGCCCCGGAAGCACCTCAAGGTAACCTCAAGGTTGGGTGAAAAAGCCTCTCCTGTTCTCAGTGCAACATTGTGGCTTGTTGAGTTTAACACCGTTGCTCCTTGTTTGTGTTACAGCTGATCTTTTGAAGACATTGTCCAGATCAACAACCTCCAAACTGTTCAGTATTTTGAAAGTTTCAATGTGATCTACCCTCTCATGCTTGGTTTGCAGTGTTTTAGTCCTGTAAATTTAGAGGATGTTGATACAGAAATGTTCTTCAAAAGCGGATAATATGGAGACCTGGGGCCAGATTCACGAAGCAGTTACGCAAGCACTTACGAACGTGTACATCTTTCCTCAATCTTTGACGGCTTTGGTTACATTTATTAAACAGTTTACAAGCATGAAAACTTGCCAATCAACTGTTGTTATTATTATAAACAGCCTCCTGGTGCTTCGGAGCTCATTAACTGTTTAATAATTGGAAACAAAGCCGCCAAAGATTGAAAAAAGATGCACAAGTTCGTAAGTGCTTGCGTAAGTGCTTTCGTGAATCTGGCCCCTGACGAGCCCTCACTCCCTCCTCGGGTTAATCTACAGTATTAGAATGTATATATTATAATCAGTAATCAGTGCGTTTATTTAACCTTTGCCTGGTGGGTTGTGTGAGGGTAAACCAGTATGGCTGTACACCCTTAGGGAAGGAACATGAGAACAGGAAAGGTGGTGGTGGAGCACAGACCGAGACGAAGTGAAGCAAGTACTGGTCACAACAGAGATCACACTAACGTGATGCATCAATGAAGAAATTCACAAGGGCCGTGACGAGGATTCGAACCTGCGTCCGGGAGTATCCCAGACACTGCCGTAATCGACTGAGCTACGACAGGGTATTGGTACTTTAACCCTGTCGTAGCTCAGTCGATTAAGGCAGCGTCTGGGATGCTCCCGGACGCAGGTTCGAAGCCTCGTCACGGTCCTCGTGGATTTGTTCAAGTACTGGTCCACAGGAGCTACGATACTTACGGCAGCCGTCTTGTCTGCGTAGTGTCTGGCCGCCAGGATGAAGCAGGCCTCAGCCTCGCTCATCCTAGCACGGGTGAGGTCGCCATCCTTCAGACAGGAGCCCTGGATGTAGATCACCCTCTGGGCCCACATCGGCACCTGCAGAATCATCTTCATAGTCGGGTCCAGTTCCATCGGCGATAAGAGCACCACGAAGTAGTCCTGTAGGGAGAGAGATAACTCTTATGATGGGAAGAAATGTATATATTTATCACTCGGAATATTCGGCAATATGCTAATTGTTTGTGATGTATTCACCTAATGAACAAATCCACAAGGGCCGTGACGAGGATTCGAACCTGCGTCCGGGAGCATCCCAGACACTGCCTTAATCGACTGAGCTACGACAGGGTTAAAAAAAAAAAAAGAGTTGAAACCGAAGTTCTACTGAACTTACTGGATCCTGCAGCCTCTCCGAGGCACAAACCAGGATTTTACACAACTCCCCCCTGCACCCGAGCTATAAGTGTATGTAGTGTGTATTCACCTAGTTCAGCTTGCGGGGGCTGAGCTCTGCCTCTTTGGTCCCGCCTCTCATCCGTCAATCAACTGGTAAACAGGTTCCTGAGCCTATTGGGCTCTATCATACCTATATTTGAAACTGTGTATGGAGTCAGCCTCTATATATGTATGAACACGTTGTACTGAACGGGGTGAGAATAGCTTGAGCTACCTTGTCCCTTTGTGTGTATTTATGCCTCAATAAACTTGTTTCAATTTCAGCTCTGTATCTTGCGCCGCGATATCACAATAACAGGGTGAATCTATGAATACACAGAGGCCATACAATGGACTCGAACCCTTGTCTCTTGATACTCTGTCCCTCTCGTCTCTGTAATTTATTTCTTTATCTTTATTCAATATCATTCATTCCAATTTCTCACCCTCTTCTATCTCAAGTTTCTGGCTACTATCTCAGCCATTTCTCATCGTCTTACTCCTTCAACTCTTATCCCGATCACGTCTCAGAGCATTTCTCATTCATTACAAGATCAGCGGAGAATTTCTCCCATTCACACTCATAAACTATCTTGAGGTTATCTTGAGATGATTTCGGGGCTTTAGTGTCCCAGCGGCCCGGTCCTCGACCAGGCCTCCACCCCCAGGAAGCAGCCCGTGACAGCTGACTAACACCCAGGTACCTATTTTACTGCTAGGTAACAGGGGCATAGGGTGAAAGAAACTTTGCCCATTGTTTCTCGCCGGCGCCTGGGATCGAACCCAGGACCACAGGATCACAAATCCAGCGTGCTGTCCGCTCGGCCGACCGGCTCCCAAATACAGCTAGAATACATTTAAATACAAAATCAAACATATTTCTGTATATTTTTAACAACTCAAAGTTCCTACTTCCATTATATAATTAGCCTATCATAAAATGTATTTACAATTCACACGTTATTCCCTAAAACTATGCAATAAAGCAAAGAACATAGAGCTTTCAAAGATAAAATTAAAAATACAACAGTCTTTCAGTCTTAAATACAGCTGAATTTTATAACCAGTAAACTGTCTGAGATGTGATGTTTATGTTCTATTTGGGGTCCGAAATGTGGGGGAAAAACCGCGATTTACCTAACGAGTGGGAAGGGGGGTCCTTTCCCGCCAAAAAATATACGCCCTCTCCCGTCAAGCAAGACAGGTCCTGCCTGTCTCAACCTGCCCTAGACCACCCTACCGTCAAGCAAGACAGGTCCTGGCTGTCTCAACTTGCCCTAGACCACCCTACCATCAACCAAGCCAGTTCCTGCCTGTCTCAACCTGCCCTAGACCACCCTACCATCAACCAAGCCAGTTCCTGCCTGTCTCAACCTACCCTAGACCACCCTACCGTCAAGCAAGACAGGTCCTGGCTGTCTCAACCTGCCCTAGACCACCCTACCATCAACCAAGCCAGGTCCTGCCTGTCTCAACCTGCCCTAGACCACTCTACCATCAACCAGGCCAGGTCCTGCCTGTCTCAACCTGCCCTAGACCACCCTACCATCAACCAAGCCAGTTCCTGCCTGTCTCAACCTACCCTAGACCACCCTACCGTCAAGCAAGACAGGTCCTGGCTGTCTCAACCTGCCCTAGACCACCCTACCATCAACCAAGCCAGGTCCTGCCTGTCTCAACCTGCCCTAGACCACCCTACCATCAACCAAGACAGGTCCTGCCTGTCTCAACCTGCCCTAGACCACCCTACCATCAACCAAGCCAGTTCCTGCCTGTCTCAACCTACCCTAGACCACCCTACCGTCAAGCAAGACAGGTCCTGGCTGTCTCAACCTGCCCTAGACCACCCTACCATCAACCAAGCCAGGTCCTGCCTGTCTCAACCTGCCCTAGACCACTCTACCATCAACCAGGCCAGGTCCTGCCTGTCTCAACCTGCCCTAGACCACCCTACCATCAACCAAGCCAGTTCCTGCCTGTCTCAACCTGCCCTAGACCACTCTACCGTCAAGCAAGACAGGTCCTGGCTGTCTCAACCTGCCCTAGACCACCCTACCATCAACCAAGACAGGTCCTGGCTGTCTCAACCTGCCCTAGACCACTCTACCATCAACCAAGCCAGTTCCTGCCTGTCTCAACCTGCCCTAGACCACCCTACCGTCAAGCAAGACAGGTCCTGCCTGTCTCAACCTGCCCTAGACCACCCTACCATCAACCAAGACAGGTCCTGCCTGTCTCAACTTGCCCTAGACCACTCTACCGTCAAGCAAGACAGGTCCTGGCTGTCTCAACTTGCCCTAGACCACCCTACCATCAACCAAGACAGGTCCTGGCTGTCTCAACCTGCCCTAGACCACCCTACCGTCAACCAGGCCAGGTCCTGCCTGTCTCAACCTGCCCTAGACCACCCTACCGTCAAGCAAGACAGGTCCTGCCTGTCTCAACCTGCCCTAGACCACCCTACCGTCAAGCAAGACAGGTCCTGCCTGTCTCAACCTGCCCTAGACCACCCTACCATCAACCAAGACAGGTCCTGGCTGTCTCAACCTGCCCTAGACCACTCTACCGTCAACCAAGACAGGTCCTGGCTGTCTCAACTTGCCCTAGACCACCCTACCATCAACCAAGCCAGGTCCTGCCTGTCTCAACCTGCCCTAGACCACTCTACCATCAACCAGGCCAGGTCCTGCCTGTCTCAACCTGCCCTAGACCCCCCTACCATCAACCAAGCCAGGAGGGCAGAGTGCTGAAGCTGCCCACTGAACGATAGTCTATTCTCTCCCCTGTCTTCAGGCTAGGCTCGTTAAAGCAGCAATCGTCCCTTCAAGACAAATCAACAATTTTAAAATTGTGTAATAAAAATAGGGTCGTTCTCGTATATAACTTAATATTATTATATATTAAAGCTCAGTGTACAGTTAGACGTAGATTTTAGTTAGTTAGTTAGTTAGACGTTAGACGTTAGTTAGACGTTAGACGATAGTTAGACGTTAGGTTAGATTTTTGTGTTCGAAGTACGTGAGTGGAACATTTGCATAGTAGCTATTCGAACAGAGATCCACGGCAAAGCACTGTTCGAAAAGTGTTCAAACAGTTCGGTGTAAACTCAACTCGATTGGATTAATGAGCATTTGCCCATTGTTGATGAGGACCGTTATCTTGAGATGATTTCGGGGCTTTAGTGTCCCCGCGGCCCGGTCCTCGACCAGGCCTCCATCCCCAGGAAGCAGCCCGTGACAGCTGACTAACACCCAGGTACCTATTTTACTGCTGGTAACAGGGGGCATAGGGTAAAAGAAACTCTGCCCATTGTTTCTCGCCGGCGCCTGGGATCGAACCCAGGACCACAGGATCACAAGTCCAGCGTGCTGTCCGCTCGGCCGACCGGCTCCCACCGCGGGCTGATATTCTCAACATATGTGAACCTGAATGATCGAAACTAATGCTTCATTCTCATGATGAACGATGTGGCGGAGGCTGACTCCATACACAGTTTCAAGTGTAGATATGATAGAGCCCAATAGGCTCAGGAACCTGTACACCAGTTGAGAGGCGGGACCAAAGAGCCGAGGAAGGCAATTGTCGGGGGGGAAAGCGCCAAGCCATTACGACTATATTACAAGCCGAAGTTCAATCCCCACAAGCACATCTAGGCGAGTATGCTTCATGCATGATTTTTCATGCATCCGCGAACTATGCTCCGCGAAACTATGCTCCGCGAACTACGCTCCGCGAAACTGCGCTTCATTTACCACAGCCCGTCCTCATAAACCTTGGCTAATTGCTCGTTAAGTCTGGGGGAAGATTTATAGTGGAAAACACTTCACACACCACCCCGTTCTCGCATCCAAAGAGCCAAGCTCGTTAATCAAGCCGCCAAACTCCCGGTTTATGAATGAAAAGCGGTTCACACACACGACTCACAACTGCTGACGTCCGAACACTTCCGGAACAAGTGCTTCGCTCACGTTCTCTGTTCGAACCACACGTCTATAAATGCTTCACCCACGTACTTCAAATACAGATAATCGCCAACAGAACCTAAACACCTAACTTAACCTAACCTAACCTAACCCACGCAGGTTAGGTTAGGTTAAACACCTAACCTAAGTCTGTAGGGTTGCCTTGATGACAAGACCACACACTAGAATGTGAAGGGACGACGACGACGTTTCGGTCCGTCCTGGACCATTCTCAAGTCGATTGTCTCACAATCGACTTGAGAATGGTCCAGGACGGACCGTAAACGTCGTCGTCCCTTCACCTTCTAGTGTGTGGTCTGGTCAACATACTTTACCCCCGTTATTGTGACTCCTCGCCTGCATAGGGTCGCCTAACCCGAAGGCTGCTGACTCACCTGTAAGTGAGGATGAGCGTAGAACTCATTTAGAAAGTCCATGATGGTGTCTGCTTGGAGGTTGGTGGAGCAGACCACCACGTGACGCTCGCTCTGCGCACGGTGCGCAGAGTACGTCCCTCCTAGCTTCTTCCTTTCCATCCACGTGAAGGCCAGCTGCTCGAACTGAAACGTGAGACAGAGATGAGACAGAGAGAAAGAAGGAATTAAAGGGAAAGCGCCAAGCCATTACGACTATATAGCACTTGGAAGGGGTCAGGATAATGATTTGGGATGGGACGGGGGAAAGGAATGGTGCCCCAACCACTTGTGGACAGTCGGGGATTGAACGCCGACCTGCATGAAGTTAGACAATCGCTCTACCGTCCACCCCAAGTGGTTAGCAAGAGAACAAATAACGAGAAATAAAGAACACAGTGTAAAGATGTTATAGATATGTCATAACATTCGCGTCCGTATAGCGACGGCCTTGCTTCTTGCAGGTCCGGGTTCGATCCCCTACCTCTTTGATATGCCAAGTCAGATTAAATCTGTGCAAATACTATGGAAATAAAAGGACCCAGTCTATGGAACTCTCGCTCTAATGAATTACAAAGATTGTCCAATCTCTTCCTTCAAAAGTAGAGCTTAAAAGTACTTAATTTCATCGTCATAGTATCCAACCCTATGCTGCTAAATCACCAAATTTATTACTAAATCACCCAATTGTTAAATCACCCAATTTATAACTAAATCACCCAATTTATAACTAAATCACCCAATTTATAACTAAATCACCCAATTTATAACTAAATCACCCAATTTATAACTAAATCACCCAATTTATAACTAAATCACCCAATTTATAACTAAATCACCCAATTTATAACTAAATCACCCAATTTATAACTAAATCACGCAATTTATAACTAAATCACTTAATTGTTAAACCACCCAATTTATAACTAAATCACCCAATTTATTAGCAAATCACCCAATTTCTAACTAAATCACCCAATTTATTAGCAAATCACCCAATTTATAACTAAATCACCCAATTTATTAGCAAATCACCCAATTTATAACTAAATCACCCAATTTATTAGCAAATCACCCAAATTATTAGCAAATCACCCAATTTATAACTAAATCACCCAATTTATTAGCAAATCACCCAATTTATTAGCAAATCACCCAATTTATTACTAAACACAAGCAAAGTCATCAGTAAAAATCAGTTCTCTCAATTTAAAATATAATAATTATGTTAAAATCCAATTTCTGTTACAGCGTATCTATCATCACATTTATCAGTTAGTTTCTTGTAATATGTACCAATAAATCCATACAAAAAACAGGCAAACTGTGTCAGATGTGTGAAGGGGACTTGGGGGGGGGGGGGGGGTGAGGGTTGGGGGTTGGGGGAAGGGGGTGGGGTGGCCTAGTAGGCTGATATCTGACAACCTAAAAATAGCTCACTCGTGAAATTTATCCCGCTGGTAAAACAATGGAAGCATTGATTTGGTCTATATTTAGACGCCGGGGGGCCAAACAGAAGAGGCGGGTGAACAGAGACATACACGTGAAATGTTTATGTCTATCTACCATTCGGGAGCAGAGAGTGATATATATATATATATATATATATATATATATATATATATATATATATATATATATATATATATATATATATATATATATATATATATATACTGTTACTATTTATATATACATGCACACAGAAGGGTTTTCAGTTATGCCAGTCTCTCCCCTACTTTCTCTCTCTTTGCTTATTCTTATCTTCCTATCTACCATTCTCCTTTCTCTCTCTTTACTTCCCTCTCCTCTCTCAATCTTCCCCTTGCCATTTTCTCCTTGCTCTTCAAACATCCTCTTCTTTTTTTTTGTTTTCTCTCTCTATCTCAATCTGTTTGCCTGTGTGTGTGTGTGTTTGTTTTCTTACTGTCTATTCTTCTGTGTACGTCTCTCTCTCTCTCTCTCTCTCTCTCTCTCTCTCTCTCTCTCTCTCTCTCTCTCTCTCTCTCTCTCTCTCTCTCTCTCTCTCTCTCTGTCTCTCTGTCTCTCTCTCATTTTGTATGTGTACCTCTCTCTCTCTGTCTCTCTCTCATTCTGTATGTGTACCTCTCTCTCTCTCTCTCTCTCTCTCTCTCTCTCTCTCTCTCTCTCTCTCTCTCTCTCTCTCTCTCTCTCTCTCTCTCTCTCTCTCATTCTGTCTGTGTACGTCTCTCTCTCTCTCTCTCTCTCTCTCTCTCTCTCTCTCTCTCTCTCTGTCTCTCTCTCATTCTGTATGTGTACCTCTATCTCTCTGTCTCTCTCTCATTCTGTATGTGTACCTCTCTCTCTCTCTCTCTCTCTCTCTCTCTCTCTCTCTCTCTCTCTCTCTCTCTCTCTCTCTCTCTCTCTCTCTCTCTCTCTGTTATGCCTTTTGCTGACTGTCACTCTCCTAAAACATCTAATAGTCCACCATTAGCATGTGGGTGCTCCACAAATGAAAGGAGACTAATGGTATGAAGTATTTAAAACATAATAGTGTCCCCATTTGCTTTGAGAAAGGAGCCGTGGAATATATAAGGAAACCTCCGAAGCTATGGAAGGATTAGCTGGTTTATGCTACTCTAGCCAAAGTATGAATAACAGAATCATTTCTTAATTTTCCCCGAGATCAATGAATAATGGTCAGGTCATCTTGATCAACACCAGGGGCGTCACACCAGTTCCCAGAGACCCGTCACAGAACACCAGTTCCCACAGACCCGTCACAGAACACCAGTTCCCACAGACCCGTCACAGAACACCAGTTCCCACAGACCCGTCACAGAACACCAGTTCCCCCAGACCCGTCACAGAACACCAGTTCCCAGAGACCCGTCACAGAACACCAGTTCCCACAGACCCGTCACAGAACACCAGTTCCCACAGACCCGTCACAGAACACCAGTTCCCACAGACCCGTCACAGAACACCAGTTCCCACAGACCCGTCACAGAACACCAGTTCCCACAGACCCGTCACAGAACACCAGTTCCCACAGACCCGTCACAGAACACCAGTTCCCACAGACCCGTCACAGAACACCAGTTCCCACAGACCCGTCACAGAACACCAGTTCCCACAGACCCGTCACAGAACACCAGTTCCCACAGACCCGTCACAGAACACCAGTTCCCACAGACCCATCACAGAACACCAGTTCCCACAGACCCGTCACAGAACACCAGTTCCCACAGACCCGTCACAGAACACCAGTTCCCACAGACCCGTCACAGAACACCAGTTCCCACAGACCCGTCACAGAACACCAGTTCCCACAGACCCGTCACAGAACACCAGTTCCCACAGACCCGTCACAGAACACCAGTTCCCACAGACCCGTCACAGAACACCAGTTCCCACAGACCCGTCACAGAACACCAGTTCCCACAGACCTGTCACAGAACCCCAGCCCCACAGACCCGTCACGGAACCCCAGCCCCACAGACCCGTCACAGAACCCCAGCCCCACAGACCTCACGACGGAGCTCACCTGTGTGGGGAGAACGATGAGGGCGACGCAGATCATGATGACCATAAAGAGCTGGGAGGGCCAGATGTCCGGCACGAAGTCCCCGTAGCCGACGGTGGAGAAGGTGACGATAACGTAGTACACCGCCTGGAACAGGTTCAGGTGGCGGTGGCCGGCCCGCTGGAAGTGCTGGATCCCACACACGCTGTAAAGGGGGGTTACAGATGTGTAATAAGTGTTGTAGTAGGTGTTATACTTGTAGCAGGTTGAACTGGTGGCCTCAACTGACGCCAAACGTCATATGACGTTTGGCGCAGTTTAACGGTTAAGTGCCTGAGGAAACATGAATTCTTGTGACATTTTAGCAGCACAAAGCCAGCGAGGGGACTTGTCTAGTCAAGCCAGCGGGGGAAGGGACTCACCTGGTAAATACGAGACACATAAAGGTGGCTGAGAGTATCATGAGCTGCTGACTGAGGGCTGACTGGGACCGCTGCATGGCGCGGTGTAGGTCGTTCTGTAAGGACAACAACAGTCGTTAGTCTCTCCTGCTGTGGTCGTCTCCAGCAGCTGCAGTTATCAACATTCTGTCGGCTCCAACACACAGTGGGACGACAACGAGGGCATGGAGGCGACTCAGAAGTTTACCATACGGTAAACTCATCTAAATATCTTGAGGTTATCTTGAGATGATTTTGGGGCTTTATAGTGTCCCCGCAGCCCGGTCCTCGACCAGGCCTCCACCCCCAGGAAGCAGCCCGTGACAGCTGACTAACACCCAGGTACCTATTTTACTGCTAGGTAACAGGGGCATAGGGTTAAAAAAAAACTCTGCCCATTGTTTCTCGCCGGCGCCTGGGATCGAACCGGGGACCACAGGATCACAAGTCCAGCGTGCTGTCCGCTCGGCCGACCGGCTCCCATTGGGGAAGAGTTTCCCTTCAAACTTCCTTTCCCTTCCTCCTTGCCCACACACTCCCTTCCCTCATGAATGAGGTAAATAATTGCACCCAGAATACAAATATGTCATCTGAACGTAAGGGTTGAAAATCAATATCTGAATTTACTATTAAAGTTATGCTAAAGTCTACGGGGTCTTAGATGAGCGTTTCACATATGTAGACTTCATATTAAAGGGGCATTGGAACATGCCCCCCTTCAGGGGGAGGATGGGGGAGGATTGGGACCATCTCCAGGCCCCTTACGACACGCGATAAAATCACCCTTTAATCCTGGAAGGTTTAATGAGGTTTGCTTCAAGCGTTTGGCCTCCAGGCTTGAAGACAGAGAAATAAAAACAAACACATTCTGGCTTGTATATGCCTGTCCCGACACACACAGGTCCTTCCTCTATGTCTCTTAATGTCTACCCAGCTCTCTGGCTGGCTGGCTCTCTCTCTCTCTCTCTCTCTCTCTCTCTCTCTCTCTCTCTCTCTCTCTCTCTCTCTCTCTCTCTCTCTCTCTCTCTCTCTCTCTCTCTCTCTCGTTCTTTGTCTCCTATTTTTCACATGTTCCCAACCGCGCTTAAGTACTTGCCGTGGCTCAAAATACATCCCCTTCTACAACTTCTTCACACACACACACTCACACACACACACACACTCACACACTCTCACACACACTCACACACACACACACACTGCCGCCCTCTCTCAGGATACAACAATTTCCTCCCCGTCTCTTGTATATGACTATTAAGGCTTCCTCCTAATTATATTATTAAGTTTCCTGCTCTGTCCTGGCACCGTTCGTCGGGTCTAGGTCTTCCAACCCACTCCTGGGCTGTGTTTACATTTGAACTATTGCTCTCAAGGGCCTTGTTTAGGTCCTATCCGGTCTTGTTCACGTCCGGCAACCCCTTTTCAAGACTTGTTCACGTCCGGCAATCCCTTTTCAAGACTTGTTCACGTCCGGCAATCCTTTTTCAAGACTTGTTCACGTCCGGCAATCCCTTTTCAAGACTTGTTCACGTCCGGAAATCCCTTTTCAAGACTTGTTCACGTCCGGAAATCCCTTTTCAAGACTTGTTCACGTCCGGCTGCTCCCTATCCCTTACCCACCGTGGCACTAATGATGGCACCCGTTGCTGTGTTAGATGCAGCTACTTGGAACAAAAAATTGCAAGTAGCACGGGCTATGGCGAGCCCGGAGTGGATTTACCCGGCACACGAGCGGGGCTGTAACTACCCGATCCCCGCAACAGCATATCAAAGAGAGGTGATTTTCTGTCAGTAAGAACGAGTGTCTTCTGTGATCAAAGTCCTTTAGCAGAGTATTTTAACTTTACGTAATAGAAAAAATACGAGTTTCACTTTATTTACAATTTGTATTAAAGTAATCAAATGGCCGAACTCTCCCACACACGTGAAATAAAGTATGATTTTTCGGGCCGTCCTGGCCCCTTGTGTGACGACTTTTCGGTCCGTCCTGGACCATTGTGTAATGACTTTTCGGGCCGTCCTGGACCCTTGTGTAACGACTTTTCGGTCCGTCCTGGACCATTGTGTAACGACTTTTCGGGCCGTCCTGGACCCTTGAGTGACGACTTTTCGGGCCGTCCTGGCCCCTTGAGTGACGACTTTTCGGGCCGTCCTGGCCCCTTGTGTGACGACTTTTCGGGCCGTCCTGGACCGTTCTGGACCATCCAGGACCGTCCTGGACCGTCTTGGACCGTCCTGGACCGTCCTGAACCATCCTGGACCCCTTATCGAGCCGTGACAAAGCAGGAGTGGAAGAGAGCGTGAATATAAGGCCAGAGGGAACACGAGATACACGGAAGGAAGTGCAGAAGACCTGGCGAAGAAGAAAACAGTGAAAGAAAGAGAAAAGCGAAAATGAACAAGGTGAAACAGACACAGATGAACAGAAGATACAGAGGACACAGAAGAACAGGACCAAATTTGATCAAGCATGTACACAACCACATGGAAGGGGTCAGGATAAGGATTTAGGATAGGACCAGGGGAAAGGAATGGTGCCCCAACCACTTATAGACGGTCGGGGATTGATCACCGACCTGCATGAAGCTAGACCATCGCTCTACCGTCCACCCCAAGTGATTGGGCACTTCGAAGCACTACGAAATCATGTACAATAATTACAACCTTAGAGCTATATGGAGCTTGGAGAAAATATAGAGCTTCTTAAGTCGTACATCATGTCAACAAAGACACCTGCGAATGCCCAAATGACTGACGAGTCCTGACCCTGATAGCCAAGTCTAATCACTTTTGTGAAGATTAGAACTACGTAACGAGGACAAGAGTCAACAAAGCCAGGATTGGGGTTCGTGTTGATCATCCTGTTCATGAGAACAGATTCATCAAGAACAATGTCTCTAGAGAGTCAAAAACGGTGAAAGAGAATTTGGGATGAATAGAGTGATTAATGTATAGATTACTTAATGTATTGAGTGATTAAGTATCCCTAATTTGGCGGGTGAGACTGTAGGGGAGTCTTAACACTCTTTCACTCTACCAGTAGGAGGAGTTTCACCAGATTAATGGAAGGAATGAGACGATTGGGTAATATTATGGATATTAGTAGCAATGGAAGCAGGAGCAGCAGCAGCAGTGTCAAGCAGATTGCTACAGTGTGTGTGTGTGTGTGTGTGTGTGTGTGTGTGTGTGTGTGTGTGTGTGTGTGTGTGTGTGTGTGTGTGTGTGTGTGTGTGTGTGTGTGGGGAGAGTGTGTGTGTGTGTGTGTTTGTGTGTATGTGTGTGTGTGTGTGTGTGTGTGTGTGTGTGTGTGTGTGTGTGTGTGTGTGTGTGTGTGTGTGTGTGTGTGTGTGTGTGTATAGAGGAAGTCTACTGTCATTCAATCTCTCCATACAAAAATATAAGTTTACATAGAATAAAATGAGTAAATTAAGTGATGCAGTGTCAAATGCCATTATCATTCAATTACCTGGTTGATACCTGGTTGATACCTGGTTGATGGGGTTCTGGGAGTTCTTCTACTCCCCAAGCCCGGCCCGAGGCCAGGCTCGACTTGTGAGAGTTTGGTCCACCAGGCTGTTGCTTGGAGCGGCCCGCAGGGCCACGTACCCACCACAGCCCGGTTGGTCCGGCACTCCTTGAAGGAAACAATCTAGTTTTCTCTTGAAGATGTCCACGGTTGTTCCGGCAATATTTCTTATGCTCGCTGGGAGGACGTTGAACAACCGCGGACCCCTGATGTTTATACAGTGCTCTCTGATTGTGCCTATGGCACCTCTGCTCTTCACAGGTTCAATCTTGCATTTTCTTCCATATCGTTCACTCCAGTACGTTGTTATTTTACTGTGTAGATTTGGGACCTGACCCTCCAGTATTTTCCAGGTGTATATTATTTGGTATCTCTCTCGTCTCCTTTCTAGAGAGAGCATTTGGAGAGCTACCTGTCCCCTGTAATTTTATTTCCAGTTTGACGAGAGAATAACGAGGCCCTTCGACCCCTTGTACGACACGCCACCACAATCAGGTAATAATTACTAAATTTGCCACTCTAATGCCAGTCTCGTTAGCAGAATAATGAGGACCAACGGTGAGGAATGACTAACTGTCACAGACTAATGACTTAACCACCACCTAACGATCCAGTCTTACAAGGAACCACTGCAGCCACCTGCCTCCCGACCTTCAATTGGGTAGTTACACCAAGGAAAAAAGGCTGAGACACAATATCCATGAAAAGAATTACTGGGAGAGCAGGAAAATGAATCTATATCCTCCCAAGGAATTGAATATTTGTCAACAAAATACAATCGTAAAAGTGATCATTTACTGTGAAAAGTTCAATCCCCCGAGGTACCGTGCTTGCTTCGGTACTTGGTCATATCCTCGTGTCAGACAAAGGCTAGATTCACGAAGCAGTTACGCAAGCACCTACGAACCTGGTTATCTTGAGGTGATTTCGGGGCTTTTTAGTGTCCCCGCGGCCCGGTCCTCGACCAGGCCTCCACCCCCAGGAAGCAGCCAGTGACAGCTGACTAACACCCAGGTACCTATTTTACTGCTAGGTAACAGGGGCATAGGGTGAAAGAAACTCTGCCCATTGTTTCTCGCCGGCGCCTGGGATCGAACCCAGGACCACAGGATCACAAGTCCCGCGTGCTGTCCGCTCGGCCGACCGGCTACCTGGGGGTAGATTTACGAAGCAGTTACGCAAGCATTTACGAACCTGGGGCCAGATTCGCGAAGCAGTTACGCAAGCACTTACGAACTTGTGACCAGATTTACAAAGCAGTTACGCAAGCACCTACGAACCTGGGGCCAGATTCACGAAGCAGTTACGCAAGCACCTACGAACCTGGGGCCAGATTCACGAAGCAGTTACGCAAGCACCTACGAACCTGGGGCCAGATTTGAGAAGCAGTTACGCAAGCACCTACGAACCTGGGGCCAGATTCACGAAGCAGTCACGCAAGCACTCATGATCGTGTTCAACTTTCCTCAATCTTTGACGGCTTTGGTTACATTTATTAAACAGTTTACAAGCATGAAAACTTGCCAATCAACTGTTGTTATTGTTATAAAC